GGGTTTAGAGTTGAGGGGCGGAGCTTCTTCTTAACTTTTCCTTCGGTTTTTATTTATCCATCCATCAAATTAGAGGGTGACTGCATTCAATTTCAATTTCATTCCTATTCATTTTTCACCGGTAAATTGAACCGCTTCTACCTGTGGAATTTTAGGGTACTATTCCTTTTTGCTTTTCGTTCGGTATACTGGCAAGTTCCTATATTCCAACCTTTGAATTCCAATTAAGGCTGGAGAAACAAGGGCCTACCGAAGCTTGAAAAAGGAATCTGGCTCTGATCAAAACAGTGAACCTGTATGTCAAAAGTTGTCGGAAGTGTGAATATAATATCATCTTTGTGATCGTACCTTTCTGTTGTATTGCTGATTCGCCTTTCCGTATCCATGCACCACCTCTTCAATGAGCAACATTGTGAGAAAGAAACCTCGGCGTTTTCCTACTTGGACAAATTTTCGACTTAAAAGGAGCTAAAGTGTGATCTTGTCACGTCAAATAGGAATGAGCCTATTAAAGTCTCAAAAATCGAGAGCCCAAAGGATTCTAATGAAAGGTAGCCAAATTACCTTCTGAAGGCTGTATCGTTGGAAACACTACAATATGGTGAATATTTATGGTAAGTGCATTCAGATGATTGTCTGGGCTACATTTGAAGTCCTGATCAACTGCGACTCTCGGTAGTACAGACCTCGTACAGCTCCAGAATCCTTGCGATGTGCTCTTGTACGCCGTTACATTTTGTTCCACACCGATCTTTCGTCAACAACATCTACTACTCTAACAGCATGTCTTCCAACACGGTGGCAACAAAATTACAATCAGTGGTGGCATATCACCCAAAGAAACCTCTGGTTCTCCACCTCCGTGAAGACTTTTCTCGTATGAAGTTGGCCTCTGGCTGTTAGAATTCCACGATATCAGAAACAAGAGCAGTTGGGGAGAACTCTTACTAAGGGATTACAGATGGGTCAAAAAGAAAACGTCATATGTGAAATCTGAAGGGGGTTAATTTACATCTGGGTCATCTGCAAGACAATTTCCATTTGAAGCTCCAAGTATTCCTCGGTTTAAAAGGGCTGTTACAAAGTTGTGAGAAGTTGATACCACCCTTCTCACATAACTAATTTTGCGTATCCGTAGTCGTCCAATAAATGTTAAAGAGTGGAACCAAGTAGAAGACACCTCATAAACGAAGAATATTTTCACACCTCTTAAGTTTCCATATTATACAATGTTTATGGCAAGCATTTAGAATAAAAACCGTCATCGATTTAATAAATTACAACTTACTTCAATCGTTACTGGTAACAATACACATATGTACCTATCAACTCAAGAATTGCTTAGGGACTGGATAAATTCTTTGTAGTGACCCAGCACTTTTTCCACGTCTTCTTCGGTTACGCCCCAGTTCAGCACAATGCGCACCCGCGTGGCATCAAACAGCATCATCAACACTCCTCGACTCTCAAAAAACTTTTGAACCTGAAAAGTGTCAGATACAATGACTTCCAGGTGTGCGGTTATACTCGGCGAATCACAATGCGGCGTCGCAAGGTAACACCTAATTGAGAAGACTGGCGTTGCGAAGCCCGTTACAATCGCAGCTGTACCATGCTGTTCAAAGAGGATGGTTTGGGAAGGGGTAAAGGGATTGCGCCCAAGGATCTGGCGCAGTTTAAGGATTTTACAACATCAGGGCTATATGTGGTGATATAAATGGATATATATGAAAACCTTTGATATAATTAATTCCCCTTCATCTTTTCCAGCCGACGTTCCCGAGAAAAGGTGTGCTAGAACTAGGGATAAGGGGAGGGCCGGCGCAGGGGCTGTTTTCGTGACGCGGATCTGACCGTAAGTGAGACGCCTGGCACCATGCTTGACTCTAAGTGTAAAGCTCTCACTTCACCGTTGAGGCTGCTCACTATGAGGAACAAAAACTCAGCGCTTACAGTTAGAGGTCAAACTAACAGTTACATGGTAATATCAAAATAAAAAAAAGACACCAAAAACACCTTTCTCATAATTGCTGTCTTCAGCATTGTGGAAGTGGTGAGAAGAAAAAATACAGTATGCTTATGTTAGCAGTCAGTGAGCGCCTTCGGAGGCAGTGAGCATTTCAAATAAATTATAAACTTCTACGACGCCGCTTCGAAGTTTTTTTTTCGCCGTATCAACGCCACATATCGCTCGCCTTCTGTAAAGCCAAAGCCTCGTCCCACGACCTCCCTGTCTCGATCTCGGCCGAATTTGTTTAAAGATATTAATCTGAGCGACCTACTTGTACTGGGGAAACACCGTTGTCACACTTCAATATCACCATGTTTGTGATTCCAACATCTGAAGCGTGGATAGCCTGAAACAACTGAGTGCAGTTTTGATCCCGGAAATTCGCCCTTTTAAGAAACCTACGTTTTTAAGATTATCAGGAGTTATTGCATTGATTCCAGAAGCAAGCTTTTGGGCGTTGGCATGATCCCTCCTGATAGTTTTCTCTGCATTGTTGAGAGCTATATGCGCCGCAGCCGCAAGTACACCAGCTTGTCGCCAACCGCCACCTACAGCCTGAAATTTCAAAGGAGGTGGCAAAGCACGTAACTACTCGACGACAGCCATGGATGAATCTGTAGATGCTAGACTGAAATCGATGCCCATTCTGTTCGGTTTTGACTGCTGACCCAACCAAAAACAAAAGTCAATTCAAAATCGTAAACGGTCACTTCGTTGTGTTCATACCGCCACAACTCTCTCTCGCTCCACCTTAACTTGCTTACATTTCTGAGACCAAGACCAACATATTTTTAAAAAATTAATAAGGGGATGTAATTACTATACTTTACCCCCCGTGGCTTCCACGGCTCATATCCCCTGACTCGAAATTTTGCAGAAATTCCAAGAATGGTAGTAAAACCGATATATCCAATCTATTCTTTACCCAACCGGAAAAGGTTATGAACAAACACAATAGTCGATCGGCGAATAAGATTTGGCGCAAAATAGGCTACTCCAACGATTTGGCGGTGACACCAATGAGCTTCACGAGACTTCATGTCAGAACCTAAACATGACAGACCTTCCGACTACGTCTAGCCCTGTCTATGAACGCTTTCGAACCGACGAGTATAGAGCCGACAGGTGCACCGAGACCTTTTGAAAAGCACATCATAACCGAATCCGCGTACTGTGCGATATCACGGACCTGAAAAACAGGCTGTACAGGAGGCGCAGCTCTGAAATATGCTCAATATGTAGGTGAAACCTGAGTTGCTGTTTCAAAAATTTAAAAACAAAGAAAAACTTTACAAACCTCAACTCCCAGAGCTATAGCAGCATTATAGATACGAGCTCCATCAATATGTACATTGAGACCATGTTTAGAGGCTAACTCTCGCACCGACCTGAACTTGCGGGGTGCGTAGGGTGGAAGATAAGTATACTGATGGCATTTACTTCTGCCGAATATGGAATTTTACCTGATGTAGTCTAAAGGTAAAGGTCGGCCTCCTGAATAGTTATGAGTGGTTTCGAGACAAATCAGTCGGGTGTTGGGCATGTGAATGTCCTGTACACGAATGGCGTCTTCAATGTCGTCAATCTTCATTGTGCCATCACTACCCACTTGTACTGTTGTAGCACTTACACCTGTAATTAAGCTTATCCGATCAATCATACAGCGAGTTCACCGACATAAGGAAAGTGTGGAGTTCTCGGATTACAAGCGGGACTTTTTAGTCAATGGAACAGCTCCCAAACTATCGTTATTTTTCCATTATAACGAGCTCGATCCGAGCACCTGACCTCCCCTGTGCTGTGCGGATAGCCTTACAGGTTGCCAATTATTTGTGAATTTTCGTGGTTACTTTCAGCTTCCTAATCGTAGAGGTCCATTGCTGTAGGTATTCCCATTCATCTGCTTTCTACAGACCATCTTTTTCTAATCACCCTAGGAAACTATCTGGAAAGCTCCTTACAATAAGAAGGTGGCACGATCGGATGCCTTCGCGAAGAAGCTCTCTAACTCTCAACTGTCCCCTCCCCCCTCCCCTTCTTTTTTCTAGCTAGACTTGGTAGACTGCAGCTAAGTACGGGTGATCTATTTCTCACTCCGGCTTACTCCTTGGTCCGCCTTCCCTCCCTGGTCTTACCCACTTCCTTTGTACCCAGAAGGATCGGGTATGGGTAGATTCACGCAGAAATGGATGAACGCGGCAAACCGCGTGGCGAAATTCGTGGTGATTGAAACGGCTTTGGCGCCTACCATTTGAGCACGGATTTCAAGCAGATTAGTTATGTAAGACCAGCTGAAGCTTCTTATGTATCCCAAATTTGTGCCCCAATGATAGGCGCCAGAGTCGTTTTGAACACCACGAATTTTGTCGCGCAGTTTGCCGCGTCCATCCAGTTCTGGGTGAATGTTCCGTCCCCCGAAGGATCGGATGAACTGCCACTGCTCGTAGCTTCGAACATGGATAGATATCCAGAAAACCTAAGCACGAACCTGCAAGTTGTGCATAGTTGCCCTGCTCCCAGCGGTGGATATGATTATATCGGCCGACGATGATCTCATCTCCTCGTTGGCAGTGTGCCATGATGGCCAACAAATTGCCCATGGTCCCGCTGGCAACAAAAAGGCCAGCTTCTTTCCCAAATAGTTCTGCACATCTGAAAAGAAGGATTTCTGGTCATCGCTCTCACTGCATTTTATTTTCCGTAAGACAACCACAATTAGTAAAAAGGAACGAGAATTCACTTTAATGAGTTGGAAAACGCAGACACTATGGGTTATCCCGATCCAAATCAAAACTTTTTGCGAGTTGTAAAATCCTACTGCGTTTAACTCAATCCTGTCACCTCTGTAGATTGAAATCGAGAGCTTCTTTGAACGACTTTAATTCGAAAACTGAACAGACTGATCGGCTAAATAAAAGGATAAAGCCCCAGTGATGTCAAACAATCCTTCCCGGGCATGCGCCTAAGCGTTCGATTCCTTATCAAAGCCCTGGGGGCAATTGAACGCCTGTTCGGTCCTATTTTTCTGCATGAGCCAGCCTAATCAGTACTGTTATCTTCCCAGATGAGCCTGATACGATTTAACGACCTGGGGAGATTCATTGACGTGGACAGGAATCGGTCAGTGATTCTATTCTCAGACCATACCGGGTTTGGTCTGCGACTGAACATGCCACTGGACACTACTCCATCTCCGTTATCGAAAAGAGATTAACAATAAAGGATCTACTGGCCATGGAAAATTTTCCTAGTTCTGCATTTCTGGGCCGCTATCTTGAACACCAGGCAAATGATTGAGGTAGAAAGATTACCCGCTGGCTTCTAAAACGGCTTATTCTTGTAACAACCAGCTACGACCAAAAATGAGTTCAAACGTTCCTTACACTTGCTAATGGAAGTCAATAAGGCCCTATTATAAGAACAAACTAAAAGGGAGCGTTTTCCGCATTATCCGTGTACATGAGTGCCAAAAAGAACAGAATACTGCCTTTCCCTCCGCACCCCACTCACCCTGTCAATTTCAACTTCAAGGTTGCGCTCTGTAGCAGGAAACAACTTCTGCTCCGATGCGAATTAAAAGAACCCGAAAGCTACAACTCGTCCCCTCATTCTTCGGAGTGAGAGGGACCTCAAGCAGAATCATAGAAAAGGTTCGGGTGGGTCGAACAGGGTTGAACAAAACGGTGCAGGGCCCTACACTAAGTGAACGTAGAGGGTCCCCTGATATTATTCAAAAGATTTGGTACCCAAAAAGTACCTCTCCTCCAACTCGTTAACCGTCCGGTCTTCTCCGTAGACATCATCTCCAAGTACCGCCTTCACCATAGCCTCTTTCATTTCATCAGAAGGGAGGGTAACCTGTATTTCGATGAGTTATAAATTACCCTGGACATCAGAAATGTGACTCAATCGGGCTTGCTCACCGTATCCGATCTCATGTCGATGCATTGAGCTGAATTAGGTACTGTAGTTGTATACTGTGGAGTAGGTTTGGTCACCATTTTTCTCTTCTGATAAAGACGGAGATCTGTAAGGAGATATTGATAGACGGGAAACGGATCAAGCAAAACATCAAATCATAAAAAAAAATTAACAACTTCCAAGTTCCACATAAAATTCTAATTTAAAAATACAATACAATAAACACAAGAAATTTCATTTTGGTTTTATTTGTGGAAGAACTTGTAGACGAGCCCAGTGATATTGAAGAGTTGAAGTCCTTAATATATTCCCAAGACATCTCACACCCATTACAGGCACACCTAACATGCAATCAAGCACCTCAGGCGTGACCTTGTCCTTATACTAGCCCAGGTGAGAGCCCGTCCATCCCCTCCTTTCTGACTTCCACACAAACAATCACTCTACCACTGAGTCACCTTGGCACCGATAGGATCGTAAACGACAGTAGTTCTACACATTTTTTTATTTCCTCAAAAAAGGAAACGACAGTTTTGCATGATTAATAGCTAAAACAAAAAAGCTCCAGTTAGGAGAGAGACGAACCTCTACCGAAGTCGACGCGAATTCGAAGTAATGAAGAGATACGCCACAATCTTTGCATGGTGCCTGCCATTATGTTATCAGGTGACACCTTGATTGAGTACCTAGAAAACGCAAGGTCGCCCCGAAGTTCAGCCATATACCGGAACCATGTGAAGAACGACATCGAGAGCATCACAATTATGTAAACTCGACAGTAATTATCAGTACAGATGTTTGAAATACCGCAATAGGTGGTAGCATAATACACTTCCATACTCAACAGAATCGGATGAAATGGCCAAAAAGGTTTGCAATGACGGCAAGGGCAAGAAGAAGCGCTATAATGACCAGAAACATATCAAGTACTGCGTTCATCCATCTCTGTGATCTCAGGGGTTCAAAGCTTGAGAACGATAAGTGGTGAAGCCTTTAGCGTTGATCAGTCTCGTGGAATGCGCACAGCATTCGACTTCCATTCAGAATCGTTGTGTTGTTTTGGATTCGAGTATGGCTCATACAATGGCTTCCAGTGTCCAGCTGATGGACAAGTCACTGCTTTTGTCTTCCCAGTCATGTGTGGTACCAATTGAGTGACTTGGAATGGATAGAAAGCTTGGTTGGCCTAGACGAGTAAAGATCTGGATTTGAACCCTGGACTATGCTTCTGCATGTGTAGTAGCGCGAAACATGCCACTACACTGCCTTCACCCATTTGTTTTCATCCAGTCTCGGAATTCAGATAGTGTTAATGAAATTCATTCGAATCTCGATCGAAGGTGTACTCGATAAGAGCTGAATCTAAAATTTGCTTTTTGCCAAGAAGGGAAAATAAAGCGATATAACTTCGATCATAGTCATGTAGGATAAGGACAAACACTTTAGGCGCTGACCAATCTCGTCTGAGGTATGCCACCACATTACCTCTGCCCAATCATAGTCTAACGAGTACAAAAATGTCTACTAAAGAAATGAGGTCAACCTCTCCGGAGTGGGAGAGGCTTTAGTCTGGTTTTTACTAGAAGACCATTGACGACCTCGCTTCAAAGAAGTTGGCAGGTATTCAATATTTTCTATGTTACCCTTTGATCAGAACATCTTCCCTCTTGCTGTAAATACCATGCAGTTCAAACAACAGTGGTCATGATTTCACAGATAGACGTACCACTTTCTAATGAGGATACAATAGGGCAGTAAATATTCAAAAGGGTGGCCATGTGTAGCCGTAAATCATCGCCCCATCAACCTAGAACTACTAGAAGTAGCTGCGATAGAAAGTGGAACTGGTTTCCGTTCAATATTTTAGCAAAAGATGGGAGATGACATCAGACAGGTAGCACCGTATCAATCATTTCATTACCAACCAACACTGTACCTAGTCTTAATCACGAAAGATTATGTTTGGGGATGAAATGACAGGAAGGAAGGTCAGTTGCTTTTTCTCGGAATTCCAGAGACCTGTCAATTCTCGGATTCATCTGTGCCAGAAATGATCCCTTTTCGCGATCAATTGATCAGCATTTTCCGTTTTCTCTATGGGTGTGAGCCACAGCTGCACTGCATGTACTGTACTACACAATGTACTGCATAGCTTGAGAAATATTAAAGCCGGCGCAGATTTCATTGCTGATAACTCAACAAAAACCAAAACATACAGAAGCTCCGCTATTTCTATATGATTTAGATTGTACAGTATGACTTCCAAATGTTTCTTTGGCTTATTCAAGAGCAGTACGACCATGGCGTCTTTCAGGTTCTGATGACACTTTCAGTTGTGACTTCTTCAACCGGTTCAAAAGGCCTCAGGTATGACGTAAATTGAGTATTAGCTACGGTTCCCTCTTAGATTGAAAATATCACAATGATAGACCACCAGACTTGGGTGGATTTAAGCCATGGCCCGACCCACACTGTAAATCAAAGGGCCGTATAAGGAAACGTGACTAAGAATAGGGTTTTTCGTCCATTATTTGAACTAATGACGAAGCAGCTAAGACTGACCTAACATCAATCTATGCGCGGTTGCCTGAATGATTCTGTCTATTCGGGTACTAACTTAGTTCGGTTAATAGTTAAACTTGGAACTGGCACTAAAACTACATAGAGAAACCACTAGAAGAAAAGACGAAAAAACAACGATTCAAAACCAAAATTACTCTTGGACGACAGTTATACACTTATGATAGCAATAGTAACCGTAACAAAAAAGACATTCAATTTTTCAAAAATCTGTAGTTTAACTATGCACAAGAAAGTAGACAGATGTCTAACTACATTTATTGACACATATCTATATAAATACAATGTGATTTTGACTATAGAACAAGTTCACCGGCTTCAGTGGCTTAGCAATGGTGAGACTACAGAATTACCTCGTGAGACTACAGGATTATCACCGTGACATATCAGAACAGCCAACTATCTTCACCCCAAATAAGCAATCAAAACATGATTTTCAAAAAAAATACACGCAAAAAAGTAACAGACAGAATTTAAGGAGAGCTCGCTGGTTTACAATATATCAACTACCACACAAGTCATTAGAAAATGTCAGATATGAGACATCTAAAAAGGCGCAGCTATGATACAGCAGGTTTCAAATACTGATATATACATGGATTTCGCTTGCTATGGAAGCATAATTTTATGAAAACGCTACGAACGTCAACATGGAGCTACCGCTCTTGAAAAATTATATGTTCATGAAAACGTTCGGCACAATGTACAGATGGCTCTCGCTTTAGATTCATTCTATGGTCGACTGATGAAGGATGGGAAGCGCAATAAGCAAAAGAACAGACATAGACGACAATAACCGTGATTGTAACGTTCCTTTTGTGCATTCTTATTTTCGAGTTTCCAATTTCTGGAATCGTTCCACATAAAGGTACAAGTCGGGACCGGAATGTCGTTTTCCTTCATAATTCAACGACCGAATCACAGAGCGGATTAGACATGTTGTCGTTGAACCGTCACNAATGTACAGATGGCTCTCGCTTTAGATTCATTCTATGGTCGACTGATGAAGGATGGGAAGCGCAATAAGCAAAAGAACAGACATAGACGAGAATAATCGTGATTGTAACGCTCCTTCTGTGCATTCTTATTTTCGAGTTTCCAATTTCTGGAATCGTTCCACATAAAAGTACAAGTTGGGATCGAAATGTCGTTTTCCTTCATAATTTAACGACCGAATCACAGAGCGGATTAGACATGTTGTCGTTGAACCGTCACATCTTAGATTATGCTGAGAGATCCTAGAACTACAAGGAACCGAAGCATCGGTAGGAAGAGCGGCTCAGCTTGGGTTCTGTCAGTCATTCGTGATCGATAGTAATGCCATTTTGTCAAAGAGGCTGACCTGAGCCTAACGATTTTCAGAAATAGAGGGGTTTTTCAACTTAATCCAAAATTAAGCGGTATAGGACAAGGAATATTGCTTCGCAGACGCCTATGCTCATTCTTAAAATCGGGTACAATACGTCATAAAATAAATGTTGTACCACTAGACCAAGCCGGAACTGTCCTATAACAGGCCATGAATGGGTAACAGAAGTCCGCTAAACAGATACTTGTTCAATGAAATGAAAAACGTAAAAAAAGTCGATTCCAGAATATAGTGTTGAGGAAATCAGCAGTTGTTCACCTCTGCACGATCCAGAAACATTCCTTCCACCATTTCCTCCAGTTCTTTTATTCTGCGGTCTCTTTCAGCGATTTCACGCCTACCCTCACCATCTTCCTGAAAATTAACATTTCGAAGACACCTAACACCTCCTCGAAAAGATAAAAACGCACTTCCTTCAGAACGTTGATGATTTCCATATGTGTTCTCAATTCATCATCTTTTCCAACAACACACTTGGTGAGTTCATCCAGACGTTTCCGTGTCTCTTCAAGCTAAAAGAGAATAATAACTACCTATTGTTCCATCAAGCACGTCTGGGACTATTAGAGCACTTTCGGAACCAAGCACTTATATACCATCTGAGCAACGAGATTTCTTTAGCTTAAATCATCCTTATTAAGGCTCAACCTATGATCGGTTTGATTATTTACATTATACACCAGAAAGACTTGGAATCTACAAGAAGCCATCGTATGACGTTGCCACGTTAGAAAATGTTCGAAAATAGATCAGAATACTCAAAATGCGCTAATTCCACCTATCAGTGTAGAATTGGGCGACGCCAGTAGAACTTAATCCCATAGGTGCATTCTTATTTTGCCGTGACAATGCCACATTCCGACTTTGGGAAGCTCAGAATTTTATTTCGTGACAGGTATACAAAACTAAGCTAATCGTAGACAGCATCGCTAATGGGGACCTCAACATTGCTGAGTAAACTCAAAACTGCATGGAGTCTGCAGCTAATGTTGCAATGCTGTATACAATGTTGCCTTTCTTCTAGAACCTCATATTCTAGTGCAGCTAAGAGCAAGCAGTAGTTTGCCATCGCAAAAAAATAATAACTCTGTCCAATTTCTTTCATCCATGAACATTTCGAAGATCAAAGAAATACAGATCTACTCCTATGAAATTTGTTGAAGTTGTTGATCAGTGCGGGGGAAAAATGAAAAATGATGTTAGAACGATGTAATTCAAATAGGAGCATTTCACCATCAACTTGAAGTTGAAAGATATGTACGCATGAGTCATAGAGGTATGAGGCTAACCATGCGCAAAACAACAACGTAAGGATCAATCACTAGGAATACCGCAAATGAAAGTACCTCTCGTTCCAACTTCTGTGCGTATACGGCTTTTTCTCGCATTTCTCTAGCAACCATTTGTTCATTTGTCATGGGGAAACTAAATCCTTCGCCTCCTGAATTCGAGAACACATGAGAACTTAGAAGGAAAAATGATATGCATTCGCAAACCATCCCCTTATTGAGGCATGCTCCGCTTCCGTGAACTGTCAAAATGAAAAGTACTGTCACCAGCGAGGAAACATACCAGCAGCACGAAGTGAGCGGATTTCATCTTCAGCGATTGAGACACGTTCTCTTTCCGCTACAAGGAGAGCGAAAGTCTCATCTAGTTTGTGACTGAAAACAATAAAACTGAAGCAAGGCAGATACTCGAGATGGTGAAAGAATCGACGATAGAAGTTAAAGAAGCCAAGGTGGCAAACTGAAGACTAGCTATATAAGGAAAGGTATGAGAAGCGATAGAAGGAAGGAATCGTGGACTTTCTGAAGGCATGCAAAATCTGAAACCTGGGCTACCTTCCGTGTTGGATCCATTCTCCATAGAAATAAAAGCAAAACTACTCTCCTAACAGAATCCGGTGATATTAGATGTGTTTTTAATTAGATGACAAAGTGTCACAGTTAACGAACGTGATAAATCATGAACCTCAATTCTTTGCAGTTCGAAGCGGTCGTTTTATTGCTTTCTGTTAAATCAGCGATTTTGCGATGAGCTGCCTCGATTTCGGCCGTAGCATCTTGCAATGCCTTCGTTCGACTATCGACCTTAAATTTGAGACCTGATGCACTTCATGAAGTTTAGTCACCAAAATACGACTACTCTGCTAACAGCTTCATGAGCTAGCAGTCAATTGTTCCGTCGCAGAGTTAGGGTGACTGGATGATGGGTAGAAATAATCTCTATTCTAAGAAGAAAGTCCGGAAGACAAACTTAATGGCGGACATGAATGATTGATAGGTAGCATAATTGGGGATACAAATAAAAAAAGCCGATGAATTGCTTATGAAATTCAGGCCACTCGAAACTGGCTTTTAGTACCAGCTGATGCCAGCAATCAAGGAAAGAGGTCGAGCCTTTACAATTTATGTGAAAAACTTCCTACTTTGACAAGGCAAAAAAAAGATCCAGATAAGCAGGGGGAAGACATAGCCTCGCTATTCATTTAAACTTCAAAATTAGTCAGCAGATATCAAGAGAAGGGTATTCATCATCAAATCTAATTACCGAAGTTCATGGTGGTTTTCAAATGGTTTGGTTCTAAGGAAAAAACACAAACCTCTAAGCCTCTATCGTAAAGTTGCTTCTCCATCATACTCAATTTCTCCTTTAGTGAAGCGAGTTTATCATCATCCGATTCGCTTTCTTTCGATTTCTGCTCACATATAGAAACTTGTTCAGCCTTCTAAACAATTATGCATCTCATGCATCGTAAAGGAAAAGAGATGACTTCGAAGAGTCCAGGCGCACCATGTTCTGCTGCTTGAGAACTTGATTTTCCTGTTCGAGTTCAGCAACTCTAGTTTTCAGTGAAGAAATCTCCTGCTCGAGGTTGTTGATAGTTTCAAACTTTGATGCAAACTAGAATAAAAAAGCATTAAAAAACGGAAGAAATGGTTCTTTACAGCCCATGAACTTCCTACAGCGTTCCTGCGATGAAAAGGAATCCTACACTGGCCTAACATCACAAATTACTAGTAGGATGATTACGGAAATGGGTGATCCTTGATAACCCTTTTGTCATGGTTGGTTATAAATTCAATAAATCGCCTTTCGACAATGAGAAGACGAATAGTAGATTAACATGACTAGTTCAAAATTAGCCAGACAACCTATTAATTGAAAAAAAAAACTGGGTAATCCACTAAACAGTCCCCATAAGGAGCCTGAGAGCTTTCCAACTAGCTCACCCTTTCGGTTTACGGATTTACCCAATCTTGCCTTTGAATAAAAGAAATGGAAAAATTGTAAGATGAGAAAAGGTAGGATACATGAGGGTCACCCGATTACATTAAATCATTCTATTTCGCCTAATATGTAATACTAAGATCAGAAAACAATTACTTCAGGTTTTCTTACTGCTGTTGGATGGAGATTGAGCGAATTAAAACAAGGAACGAGTACCTCGGTCCTCTCCTTGTTCATTGAATCCAATGACATGATCGCTTTTTCGAGCATCTCGCGAGTTTCACTTTGTGAGCGAATCACACTGTCAAGTGTGCTATAGGATTCCATGCATGCTGAACGAGAATTTTTCGTAAGTTATAATTAAAGGGCCTAACACCATTCACTTACGAGCATCAACTAGGGTAGAATCAGCAACTGACGACTTCACTGAACCAACAGTGCCGACAAGAATAGCAGTCTCTCCTCGGTTATCGATAGGGTTAACTTGGCCACCACTAGGCTTATTTGCTTCTCCTGGGAGACTCTCTGGGACAGACTTGAACGAAGATCTGCAAAAAAAGGAAAATAATTGTGTACTTCGTGTAACACTAGTTCAATCATTATAGAAATCACATTAGGAAATTACAAATCAGGAACTGAGCTTAGAAAGAAAAATAACTTCGATTTGGTATTGATAAGAAACCATAACATCAATTTGTTGACTTAATTCTCACTCACCCTGAAGTCAGCGATGGAACCTCTGAGTGTGTTGAACACAGGATATGTGTAAGATTGTTCATCGGAATTGTCGATTCGACGTTGATACTGTGTTTAGTATTCCACTGCGAAAGAGTATCATCCCTGGTTTCGTGAGCACCATGACCTAAAGAGGAGCAGCTGTCAAATGGGAATACTCCATCTGGATGGTTTTGACAAGTTGGTGGTACAGGACCGATAAAATCCCCAAACTTAATAAAGCATTTCAGGGACCAAAGTCAAGTATTCCTCTAGTTAATGTCGAGAACTCCACAAATGAAACCCTCGTTCATGTACTTTGCATACTTTTTCAGTAAACACAACAACGCAAAATTTAAAAAAAGGGATATCGATTTCAGGTGTCAGAAAGCCCCCGCACCCATGGAAATATAATCGTGCAGTTTTGAAAAGTCGGAGGGATTCGTACTTAGTGTGTCACAGGAGATGATCTCGAATTCATCGGTACACAGACTATCGTCTTGATAATTGTGCGACGTCAAAGTCTCTTCACCACCAGCGGACACGGACATCCTAAACAACAAGTCTAGTATTGAGCCGTCAAATAAAACAGCTTGATCAATGACGAATAACACGAGCCAACATCAAATAGTTAATGGCAGCTTTTACAGATGGTTTTCCCATTCGATGCAGTTCATATGCATTTAAGCAATCGATGAAGATTATGATGCAACAAGGGTGCAAGCTGGGAATACTGCAGCATGACAGCAACGCGTACTGAAGGGGTGCACGTTGGTCATGCCTTTGCCGAAGGGAAACAGTAGGAAACAGTAGTAGGAAACACTGGAGAAGTTTTAATCGGAGCATTCAAACGTCCTCAGTAACGGGAACCCTGTAGAATCACGATTCCTATCGTACACAAGGCGCAAAATAACACTTCTCAGGTGTCTACATTGCTCAGTCCATTCTACAATACAACAGACACACAGCAGACGACGAGAGTAACCTGATGATGATGCGTGTACATTGTACCCAAATGACGTGTTACCTGCGCACCTGTAGTTTTCATGGGCTGGGAAATGGAGTGGGAGAACTTATCAGTGGAGTACACTATTCTACGTTACATTTGATTACAAAGAACAGGAAACGGTGGGCTAACCAAAAAAGTAAATCGGCCCACCGGAGAGCGATTGGGAAAAACTAACACGGGAGCGAAAGGCTCTGAAAGCTTCAAATGATCTAAAACCAGTAAGAGTGAAGGGGTAACGATTCAGAGGGGCCTTATACGATGACTTGCGGTGGCCATCCCATGAAACTGCTGAATGAAAAGCATTTATTCTTCCAGAGGAGTTCGCTACCAAGTGGCTGGATGAATACCGGTCCGGGATCCCATCTCTGGCCATGTGCATGTGGTAGTGCGCCGCCTGCCATTGTGCCACCTCTGCCCAGTTGCTCTAATGCATAAACGATCTAGTCAACTGAATAATAACATCCTATGCGGGCATTATCGAAATCTCATGTGATGAAATCGATAAATAGGTGTTGTTATAACGTTTACGGGCATGCTCAGGCTATGCAATCAATAAATGCATAAGTTCATAAGAGAAAATGGAAATTGAAAACAGAGAAAGCAATATAAAAGTAAGGGAGCTCAGTGGGAACGAAAATAGAAAAGGGCATTGCAGCCAGCTCGAAAAAATTACGAAGCAGCGCAAGGGAGAGAAACGACGTTATCGAGTAATCGACAAGAAAACTGCCTTGAATCAGCGAGAANTTATCATGACTCATTATGTCATGTGTAGGGCATGTGATGTCCTGATATACGCATGGGCGATTATCAAAACAGGTGCCGTCCATTACGAAATATAAAAGAATTATGTTTACAAGCCGTGCACTTTACACGCATGGTCAATAGTTCGAATTTCGGATCGACCTGCTAAGGCTAACCAAGCCTTTCATCTCTCGGGGTCGGTTAACTGGAACCAGATTTGTCTTGGAGGATAAAAGTGCTAACCTATTAACCGGCCGGCCACCGCAAGTCATTCTATAGGCCACATACGCATTCATATGTCGTTACGGTTCTGAATGGATGTCGCATGTGTGGGCATATCCTCAGATGAGATTGATAAATTGACTTCACCATTTATCCTTGTCCTTAAGTTTACAAGTTCCGTTTGATTTACATGAAACATCATAAGGATTGACCACATTGTACAAATATATGATTCACATTGCCATGTAAGGGACACATAAAGTTGGGGAACCGAGGAAATTCCAGACTTAAAATCACCTACAATACCTAAACAGAAGGGAGAAAGACTTTCGAAAACATCTGGGAGCAAAAACATGACAACTTCCCACATCGTTGGAGCCATTTCACAGTATAAGCGTGAAATTCAATGTACAGGTTACGGTGAGGTGTGTAGCCTGCAGATGCACGATGTATTTGACGCTAATTTTAAAGCTTCAATTATTCCTCTAGACTTTCTGGCCTTTCCAGGTTTAGTTGATACTGAAACAGCTTCTGTTTACTCTTCAGCAATCCACAAAAAGAAAAGCTGCTCCTGACAACTGCCGTCTAGTCTTCAAAGACTGTATCCACCACTGTTCAGAAGTGGGCGGGCTTCAAGTTGACGGCACGGCCGCTGCGCTATTGTCATCATTTTGTAAATCCCTCAAATTTTGAAGTGAGCAAACTAGATGTTTTGAGTTTGTAGAGTTGTGTTTACAGTGTAATTTATCAAAATATGAACGTGGGGTCTTTTCCAAAAGGGCGTGATTTTAAGTCATATGTGTATGTAGAACCAATCACCGAACTTTCCCTGCGCTGGGCAGTCCCTGTGTAGGTAGAATTATGTCATACCCTTTTTCGACATGGATCTCTCAATTACTTTTATTGTGAAGGTTTCTGAAGGTGTATGTATGTTTTTGCCCTCACTTGCTTTCATTTTTCTTCTATGACTCGTTAAAACCTTGTATTTAATTTTCCGCACGGCTCTGTTGAGGTTTTTGTTTTTTGGTTATTTTTGAGGAAGAATATGCTGTGATCTTGATATCACCAGTCATTTATATCTTTCTCGTGTAGTGACGTTCATTTCAGGGAACCAAACCATGTCAACGGCTGCTCTCCAACAGATTGGGATATTTGTAAGCAAATTTTCAACTCTGTTGGAATTCTGACTGTAGCGCTTGATTGACTGATTTACAGGACGATCTAGATAGTGTCATTGCTCAAGTTTCTACTGGCGATCAGCAGCCGAAGGATGGATTGGATTCAGAGAATGATGACTACCTCAAGTAAGTCGGATCTACCTCCATGAAAAAGAGTTCATCCTGTATTCCCACTTTTCAAAGTACTGAACGCAGGGACAGTGAGTGCGAAACATTTGCTCTTACAATTAGCAATGTTTTGGAGCGACAATCAAGTTGGTGACTAACCTGAATTGTAAAAGTGGGTGAACGGGTTTCATTACGTCGTCATGTCTCGGAGGGTTCATACCGAATGAAGCGCGACATTTCTCCTATTTCACAAGCACACCCTTGCTTTGTCACATATCGCATCATATTCATTTATGATTCATTATGTAAATCCTTTCAGGATTTCATTGACGATTTGTGGCTTATTTATTCTACGTTCAAAACTCGTCCTATATTGTGTGAATAGTACGCACCCCTATAATTTAGGTTGAAAAAACTCGAAAATGAGCTGGACCACTTACAAGTCATGGAGGATTACGTCAAACTGGAAACCAGAAATCTTGAGAAAGAGCTCCTTCACGCGCAAGAAGAGGTTAGTCTACGCATTTCACACCTCGTCTTCTGAATGACAGCAGCTATGGGTCTTCTGAATGACAGCAGCTATGGGTCTGTTCTGGGAATGCAAGCTTTTTTATAGCACAGGGATGACGAATGTTCTGTTCCCTTTTGCAGGTGAAACGTATTCAGTCAGTACCGTTGGTCATTGGTCAATTCTTAGAAGCTGTTGATCAGGATCACGCTATTGTTGGCAGCACGACAGGTGATTCTATCTTAATTCATCTATCCTTTTCGTTCGGCTTTTGAGTCTAGAAGGTGCCCTTATCACTTCTATCACTTATTTATACATCAAAAGTGGTGATAATTTCGTGGAAAGTGGTTTCCGGATTGCCCTTGTACCAGTTTGGTCTCGAATATCGCCTTTCTCTGAATACACTATGAAACTTCCGTTACTGCTTATCCGCCCTTGAGACGTCGGTGTTATGGGAGCCATAACAGAGCAATTTCCCGTGGTAGTAGTAATGTTCGGTCTAATTTACTGCAGCTGAAGCTGATAGTGTAGTGGGTTTATTATCCTACCCGCTTCTCTACCATTGCACTATTTCGTCAACAAACTTACATTCAAACAACCAAAGTTAATTTTTTATAGAAGTAGATAGTTGAGAAGAATTAGCAGTTCTTTTTGTTTCTCGCAAGGCAATATTGCAGGCTCTAACTACTATGTTCGTGTCCTTTCAATATTGGATCGAGAACTGTTGAAACCTGGCTGCTCTGTCGCCCTGCACAAATACTCGAATGCACTCGTCGATGTCCTACCTCCGGAGGCCGATAGTTCAATTCAGGTTAGAGATAGTATATTTAGAAATGGAAAACGGACCATCTAACGGTTCTAAAATTTGCTCGTTCTAGATGTTGCGTCCTGATGAGAAGCCCGATGTTTCTTATGCAGATATTGGAGGTCTCGATATGCAGAAGCAAGAGGTACGAGAAGCCGTTGAATTGCCACTCACTCACGGCGAGCTCTACAAGCAGGTCAGTTTCTCCTCTTTTTTTAGAAGGCTGTATGGCATCTAGTACCTACGGCTAATGTGTCTCGAGATTCTACTGCTGTTATTTTTGAAATATGTTCAAGCTGTGCTGTAAAATTGGTGACAGATACGAACTGCAGAGTGATTTTAGATCGGTATTGATCCTCCACGTGGAGTTCTTATGTACGGTCCTCCTGGTTGTGGAAAGACTATGCTCGCCAAAGCAGTCGCCGCAAATACGGCCGCGTCCTTCATAAGAGTCGTCGGCTCGGAGTTTGTTCAGAAGTATCTGGGAGAAGGTGCGTGTTCCAGACCAACGCCACTTTGTTTTCGATTACTGCTTTCTTTCAGGTCCTAGAATGGTGCGTGACGTCTTCCGTCTGGCCAAGGAAAATGCACCCTCTATAATATTCATCGACGAAATCGATGCAATAGCAACGAAGCGATTCGATGCTCAGACGGGAGCAGATAGAGAGGTCGGTTCCACTTTTACTAACTGAACTTGAGAAGTGAGCAAGGGGGTTCTTCCATGTCCCATCTTCGTTTTCGCTGAGGAAAGAAGAACCCAGCAAAATAGTGTTTCACAAATTATATAGGCCTTGTGAAGAGTAAAACTAGCCTTAGTTAATAATTTTCGTTGAAGTAGATGATATGGGTTGTCAAAAGACCCCTTTCTGTTTTTTAGGTCCAACGAATTCTCCTCGAACTTCTGAATCAAATGGACGGATTCGATCAAAGCACTAATGTCAAGGTCAGCTATTGGTCAAATGTGCTGGTAGGCTCATAAATGCCCCATTGCATTACTGCTTTCAGGTAATAATGGCCACCAACAGACACGATACACTGGATCCTGCTCTACTGCGGCCGGGAAGACTTGACAGAAAGATCGAGTTCCCACTTCCTGATCGGTCTGT